AAATAATTGTGTGGCCAGTTAATAGTAGTTTGATATCTTTTAAGTTCAACAACTTCTCAGTTGTTTAGTAAACAAGTCACATATAGGATTGATATAATTTACTTTTTAGAATTGTTGTAAAACTGCAGTGAAATGATGAGATGATATATGAGGGAAGACCCCAAAAAGCAGAAGTATTTTCCCCCAAAAGCTATGCATTTATTTTTTTTTTACAAAACAAACTTAACACTTTCGAATTACTCTCCATTTCACTTAATACATCTTTTAAACTTGCGATTCTATTCTTGGAAACGTATTCCAAACTCATCTGTTTGGATGGTTGACAGCACCTCGCTCATTTTTAAATTCACCTCTTCTAAGTCATCAAATCGCCGTCCTTTCATGTCCTTCTTCACTTGTGGAAACAAGAAGTCACACAAGGGAGGTCATGTGAGTAAAGTGTGTGGGGAAAGAGACATGTTTTTTGCAAAAAACTGGTACACTGACATGGCTACATGAGCAAGTACGTGCATTGTCATGGTGGCAAAACTAGGTGCCCATCTGTCACATATCAGACCATTTCATCACAAAGTTATGCAATCTTTTCAGAACCTCTATACAGAAAGTTTGATTAACAGTCTGACCTGGTAGAATGAACTCCAAGTACACTACCAGTTGACATTTTTAACTGTTCATAAAGTTGATTGATATCCAGAATGAGATTTGTCATCATTCCACATTTCACCACTTTTGAAATGAGAAAGCCACTCATTTACTTGAGTTTTTCCCATAGTGCTTTTCTTGTAAGTTGTGTTCAACATCACAACAGTGTCTGCAGCATTTTTCATGAGCAGGAAACAAAAGTTCACAGTCACATGCTGTTCTCTTAAATTGGCCATCACAAATAAAGGAGGTTTGAACAAACTGCTTTTATGAAAAAATCCATTGTAACCAGATAGAGCCTTCCCAGATGACGCCACTGGGTGCACTAACTCAGAGCGGGTGTTTCATGCTCGCCTAGCAGGTGAAAATGTGTATGAAAGCTCTGCCCAAAAGAGCTTTTTTCAATTTTTTGGTGAGGGGGTACCCTCTTATATTCAACACAATGCCTGGCACATTGTAGCCACTAGCTAAATGGCAGCTATAAACCCATTTTAAAATTTGATTCTTTGTTAGTTGAACTGTCAAATAACTTAACTAGCCATATTTAAGCCATTTAAGCAGTAATATTTAAACTACCCTCAAGGATTGAAAACCTGATTTTTCACTATTTTTAATATCATGTTATTAGTTCTTTAGTTTTTCCATTGTACAAAATAGCAATCTAAGTTTTCTGAAGATGAATTTCTCCCAAGCCAGGCAGGTGCTTGATTTCATTTAATAGAAGATAAGGAAAATTCTTTGATTCAGTCCTATAACTTTACTAGAAGTACGATCTTTGTCTTTCAGGTTTGTTTATCTCAACTCTATTATCGTTTATACACACTAGGTATTTTTTTAAATTTTATTAGTAATTTTTTTTCTAATTAAACTGCTTTCCAAAAAAAAAAAAAAGTTAAACTGCTTTCCAAGCTTTTTCTGGAAAATAGTCTGAATACTTTGAGCTATGTCCATGGATATTCCAAGCAATTACTACATGCATACATGTTTTTTTAAACTTAGGCCAACACTTATACAAGGGGACTTCAAAAAGTCCATAAAGAAATAAAATTAAAATATAAAGGAATTTAAACCTTTTTGTATATTTTTCTAATAGGGATAGTTGTGAGTGGAACAGCAGCCTTTAAAATGAGCTACATCTAGTGTATCTCTACGATACTGTTTCAGTTGTAGCCTGAATAAACAAAAAGGACTACTTAATACTAATTTCAAGTGAAAGTTATACTACAGAACCTTTGGGTCTATTGTATCAGTGACAGGAATCAAGAATCCAGGATTGCCTGTCACTTTTCCATCCAATGGTAGAGACGAGAAACTCAAAGTTTATTTATGCAAGTGCTAGACAGAAGGAAATAGTGGAGTTTACTGCCCCCCCCCAACTGTTTCAAACATTCAATAAAACATAAAAAAACTATATACCTTTAAATTTAAATTTTGAGACCAAAAAAAAGCAAACAAACAAATTGTACAGTTACCGGAAACAAGTGATATCTATATTTCTTGTTATCTAAATGCACTTGCTTACCTCTCCCCTGAGTTAGAAAATTCCTGCTAAGTTTTAAAGGAAATTTTATTTCAAGGGTGGGGGCTGTTATGTTCTGGACTTTAAACAAATTAAATCTTAAATGTTTTATTTCTAATACTTTGATTAACTTCTATTAGTGTAGTAGTGGTAACTCTTTCCCTCTATCACTATGATCTATAAAATTAAGAGTTTTCAGAAAATATAAATGCTCTTAATATATTGAACAACGATGTCACCTGGAGATATTCCCATCTTAGTTTTACTGCCACAGCTACAAATAATAGCATTTTCACAATTTACATGTGTTCTCAGCAGTCAGTTATCCTCATTACACAGATAAAGGAACTAAGGTTCATAAACTAACTCACCGGAAGCAACAATAACTCTCACTTGATTACCTTCTTAGAAACCATAAATCCCCTTATTATTAAAAATGAAGCCAAAAGAGTGTCTTTCACATTATTTACATGTAATCACCATGCAGCTCATGCCAGTAAAACCTCACTTTGGGCTGCTCACCACAAGGTCAATAATATGAAACCACTAGCTACTCTGTGGGGAACTGATGGGGTTTTCTACTCCTGTAAAGATAAACAGTCTCCAAACCCCAAAGGGTCAGTCTATTCTGTCCTACATGATCTCTAAGATTTGGAATGGACTCAATGAATTGAGTGAGTAGTGCCTTTTCAACTACATCACATGCTATTTATTCTTTGTTATTAATCTTAGTTTTCAGCTTATAATGGAATTCCTTATACATACATCAAAAATAGACTGTGGATCCTGTACTGTCTGCAGAGATAAAGCCATCATCCATCTCTGTTATTGTACCTCTGATACGCAGCATGGGCAATGGCAGCATTTTAATCAGAGTGATGTGTTTGTGAAGCACTTGCACCCCATACAAGGTAGTACTTGATGCCAGCTGAGGCTTAACTGGTCCCTTCCTTCCATTTGGTGTATTCTGCAATGTGTGGTGTGCCCTCATGTATATGCAGTTATTTGTATGTGTTTCTTTATAGAGGCAAGAAAACAGTCTGCATGCCAACAGTCTAGAAAATCATATACATCAGTTTTCATTGTGGAGTACCTTTAGGTACATGGTGTGATATGTATTTCAAGGTTAACTTTTCTAAACTCTTCCACACCAGGGTTATTTTACATTGAATATGTGAACATTTAAAGTATGTACATGACTTTTTATTCTATTTACTCTTTTTTATCTTGGCTCACAGGGAAAAAACCCATAAACCTATGTAGCTTATAGTATTTTTATTTAAATATCATTTCAAAGACTTTTCTGATTAAGATACATCATAAAATGATATAAAATATCACCAGTGGAGAGTTTTAATACTCCGAGTGCTCTCCCTCCCTCCATGTTGAGTCACGAACATAACACCCAAGGAATAGACTTATCAGCCATGTGTTAAAACCCAAATTCATGTGCAGTTAGCACTGAAACTCACCCCAACATCTGATTTGCTTACTTGGTGATTTTAGTTTGATCACCAAATATCATCTCTTGCAGGCTGACAGGGAGACGAGTACAGTGCTTTTATGTACTTTTTAAAATGTTTACATTAGTTTTCAAAATGGTTTTGCTTCCTAATCCTACCATTATATGAAGCCTCTCACTTTGAAAGTCACAGACTGCGGACTGGTAAGTCCATCAGTTCTCTGTCATTAAAGTTATTCATAATTTTAGTTAAAACAAACACATGCTCATTGTGTATTTTCCTTTCTTAAACCAAATTATTTCCAGTATGTGAAAAGTTTTTTTTATATTAGTACATATTCATTACCTTCCTATATAACCTTTGCCATCATTTTGCGTTCTAAACAATTTTAGATTCTGGAGCATACAATCCTAATGTTGAAAATTTTTATCACTAATGTCTTATGTGTTGAAACTCAACGTTCATTTGTGTGGTACTGTTTGTTTTTTCTTTCTGTATGTTTTTGTTTTCTGAGTAACTTGTGATTAAGATAAATTTAAATGGAACATAGCAAAATCTATGAATGCTCTTCCAAAGTTTTCATTTTTTTGGTGATTCAGATGCACCTTCCAAAGCTATGGGATGACCTTTGTTGTAGCTTCCATTTTTGTGCTATGCGTTAGAATTGACTAACTGAGCTGGATTAGTGTAGGGGTTTTGTTTATCTCATGCAATCAGAATCACCCATATATTTATCTTGGTTTCACATTTAAAATAAAGTCGGCTTATCAGTTCCTAGTTTTAGCTGCTAACACTCAAGTCAATCACATCTTTATTTTTGATTCATCAAGTCTTTCTTTACTTATTTGGGGCCAACAAATAAACTGGCTAAAGAGTTCATGAAAGTGAATCAGTAAACATTTACTAGCCATTATTGTATGGTTTTTATAGATATCTTTTCTTCCATAGTTTGAGACACTCTCACACATGTTGTACATATATATACTGGCTGCCTTTTGTGTGGAATTCTTAGGTCAGAGCCTGGGAGCCAAGAACATTTAACACGAGCATTTTAAAGAGATGCAATGTTCTTTCCTATACACATCTGATTTTAAAAAGCTTAAACTTTCAGGTTATTTGTAAAATGTTGCCAAACCCATGCTGCTAACTTTAACAGAGAGTCATCTTGAGTTTCAGTGTCCCCGTGTTCTTTTCTTGGAAAGGAGTGCATCTATCAGCCGAGCGCATGATCTTATGAGCTTCAGATAGACACGTGGCTATGATTTGCGACGGCTTGGGGTTCAGAACAATGCTAGATTTAAATACGAGTATGATGGAGGTGGGGTAGGGAAAGGTAACTGGGGAAGGTTCTTGGTAATGTTTGCTTCTTTTTGCAGGAGAAAAAGTGCTACAGGATGATGAATTTACCTGTGACCTCTTCCGTTTTCTCCAACTTCTTTGTGAGGGTCATAATTCAGGTTTGTGAGATCTCAGACTGGGTCATGGCACCAGAAATAAATATTTGGATACCAGCTATGGGAAGAGGCTTGTAGATCACATGCATGTCTCTCTCCCAAGTCAGCAAGTAGTTTCCTGCTCATTGCACTATATGCGTGGATTTACGACATTTTATAGATTGCTTTGCCACCTTCAAATCTGTCAATTACTCTCATGTTAGGGAAGACAGGTACTACAAAAACAGGAGTATATTAGGTAGAGGCATAAAAATAAATTCATAGCTTTGTTGTTTTATATAATTTCTGTTTACATTAGAATATCGAAAACAAAGAAACATTGGTCATTAAGTCCATTCTCATTCATAGTGGCCCACTTATGTTAGGGGGAGCTAAGCTCCACAGTGTTTCCAATGGTTGACAATTCAGAAGTAAATATACCAGGCCTTTCTTCTGAGGCACTTAATATATCTCAAACATCCAACCTGTCACTTAGTAGCCAAATGAATGAACTGTTTTCACTACTCAGGAAATCCTTGGCAATTTAATATAATATTATTTCCATTAGTTATTTATGCACCTACTTACTTAACATGAAGACAGGAATTTTATATTCCCTTTTCCTGAAATTTAGCACAGTACTGAGGAACAAATTATGATTAAATAAATCATTTAATTACTCTCTATAAAGTATTAAAGACCTTTCAATTATTCACATGTCCAAAGCACTAGAAGAAAGAATGTAGAAATAGGTTTTAGCAATATCTTGGACAAAAAAATGATTGTTGATATATTGAAAGCACTTAGCTATGTTTTGTGATAATTATTTACTTTTTATGGAAAATATGGATTAATTAATATTGAAACTATCAGTTCAAACACTTCCCTTAGCCACAATGATTTACTGCTCTTGGTTTCTCTAAAATAACTTTGTCTTAAAATAACTTTGTATTTGCCTTAAAATGTTGTGTTTGATAACTTTTCCATGTTACCTAGATTTTCAGAATTATCTGAGAACTCAGACTGGCAATAATACAACGGTCAATATAATCATTTCTACTGTGGACTACCTATTAAGAGTTCAGGTGCGTTGCCATACCTTTAGTATCAAATAGTTAGATTTATTGATAATATATAGCAAAATTGTTCAACTGACAGGTTTTGATGTGTTTTGCTTTATAACTGGGCAGAATTTTGAAAATATTTTGTCTCATCATAGTCTTCCACAGAGTCCTGCAATAAAATTCTTGCTGTGGTCGTGGCCTCTGATCTTGGTGCCCAACTTTGCTCATGTTTTTATTCTATACAGTAGTAATTTTCTTCTTTTCTGTTTTTTTCACTTAATGGTATATGAAATTCATCTTTTTATGAATCACATATATACTCTGCTCCTTTTTCTACAGTTGATAGGTATAACTGGGGGAATTTTTAAGAGGGCTTCAAAATGTTTGTGAAAGAATTGAAAGATAATGTATCGCTGCTCCCCTTATTGGTCCTGAGGGTGTAAGAAGTTAAAAAAAACAAAACAAAAACAATTTATAAATTATCCTGGGATCATGGGGAAGAGATGGTGGAGGGGAGAAAGAGGAGCTGATAACAGGGGCTCAAGTAGAAAAAATGTTGAAAAAGATGATGACATCATATATACAGATGTGTTTGACAAAATGGATATATGTATGGATTGTGACAAGAGCTGTGAGCGCCCCAATACAATGATTTTTTTTTAAATGAGAAGGCTGAATTAGGTCAGTTCTTGAGGAACTGACTAATATTTTCCTTTGTAATTTTGGAGAAACTATCTATGCCTTAGTCTCATTTGTAAAATGCAAATAGTATTACTACTCTTCAAAGTGATTACACCTACTCCACTTATTGACTCAAAATCTGAGATTTTGCATTTATGATAATAGAAAGAAAAAAATGTGCTGTCTGACAATTTTAGGTATTAACAACGAGGTGCAAGGAGAGAATCACACTGGCTGTTTTGCTAAAATTATAGGTAGAGTTGACTTGGCCATGATTCTCCGTGGTGTGGGAGTTTGGTAATGATCTAAATTTGGAAGTTACACAATGACGAAATTTGACAGTTATGGTGTCATCATCCACCATTTTGTCAACTAATGTAGTCAACCATTACTTTCTCATAATCACCCATCCTTTAGGATGTCAATACTTGAGAAGTGGATGTATTGTAAAAAATAAGTGAAATATTATATATAAACTAGTATAATGTAACATGGTAACAGCACATGTAGTTTGTGGTATTAGTGTTATCAACTCTTGGTACTTTTCCAGGACCATTTACAAACTTATGGTATAATTTTACAACTACCAGGATTTCAAGTTGCATAGCAACCCCATGGAGCCCCGATGGCGTAGTGGATTATACATTTGTCTGTTAATCACTAGTGCCACTGGGCTCTCTGGCACCTCTGAATAAAGATGAGGTTTTCTGCTCCTGTAAAGATTTACAAACTCAAACTCTTACAGGAGCACTTTGACTCTGCCCTACAGGGTAGTTCTTTGCTAGATGGCAGTGTGTTTTTTTGGGTTTTTTGTTTGTTTGTTTTTGTGAGATGTTTTTGTTTCAACCAAAAAAAAAGTTACATATCAAAAAAACTTATATTAAAATGTTTGAGAATACTAACTCTAGAAGCTATTCCTCTATTTCAAGTACAGCTGTGTTTTGGATGACATGAGATGTCTTTATCTTTAGAAACTTAAAACCTCTTTAAATACTATTTTAGAATTTGTAAGTTACCATAAAACATAATATTGAATACTACCATTTATTTATCACAATTTAAGAATCTCCTAGCTTCTTACTGTGATATTAATATTCCATCTATAAGATATATTAAAATAAATTGACTTTGAAACAAAAGATAATGTAATTTTTTGAAGATCTTTTTGATGTCCTCTCATATTGGAAACATTGTTAGGAATGAAAGGGAAAGACTTTCCAATGACGTACTATATATAGTCTTAAATTCAGTAGCTCCAGGTTAGCTCCTTTCCATTGTTCTAGTTTTTAAGTAATTTTAAAATTGTAATATGATACTTCAGTACTTAAAAATTTCTTTGATATCATAGTCATATTTTACAGAGGTACATAAGAATGTTTACCTGTCTTCAATAATGAGAGTCAAATGTAGCTTTTATTTGCTTTATTTTATTTATAAGAAAATCTAGGTAAAGTGTTATGAAGTGGAAAATTCAAATTTTGAATTTTTTCCTTAATCTTGTAAGCCTCAATACTTAAAAAAAATAAACTTTGGTTGGAAAGACAGTCTATTTTAAAGCAAATGCATCATAATGTATTGCTGAAAATATATTAATGATTTTTTTCTTAAATCCTGTCTCACACTCAAATTTAACTCGCAACTTGGCCTAAGTTGTTTTATGTATTTGGCCAAAAAATTGCAAGCAACTGTTGAAAATATTCTGTTTGAAAAATGTGGTCTTATATAGATTATTTTTTAACTGTTGGTGTCAGTGTTTATAAACAGAGCAACCAGTGTGATCAAGGCAATTACAAAAGCAATGGACATGCTGGAGTTCTCACTGATGAAATATAATTGGCTTTGTTGGAGAGGAAGGAGGCTCATTGCTTCAAAAATATGCTTTCATGTTTGGTCTACTTTTTATTGTTGCATAGTAAACATCTTTGTCCAATGTATATTTAAAACTTTGTCCAATGAATCCTTTTGTTTGCAAAGTTTAATGTCGTTTGAGGTGACAAAGCAAATTTTATAGTTAAAGTTGTTGTCTCCAGCTGCCACTTACATCTAGGAAAGTAGTTGCCATATTGCATGCCTAAGAATATATTTACAAATGGTATTAACATCATAGATATTTTTGTTTGATTTTGAATCTATTATGTAAAATGGTTTTCTATTATATAATCCAAACCACACACCTTTAGAATGTGCCTTATTAACATTATCTCTATTTTCTAGGAATCAATTAGTGATTTTTATTGGTATTACTCTGGGAAAGATATTATTGATGAGCAAGGGCAACGGAATTTCTCGAAAGCAATTCAAGTAGCAAAACAAGTATTTAATACTCTTACAGAGTATATTCAGGTAAATGTTTATACATTTCTGATATTTGAAAAAAGAGTAACGCATTTAACTCCATAGAAAAGTACATTATGCCTAAAATAGTTGATTGAATAAAAATACAATAGAAAGCCTATATCTTTACCAAGAAACAAGATTTTTCTTTTACTCAATTATTATTAAAACTTATGAAATTGTGGTCTTACATGGAAATGGTTAGTAAAGTGGTTTTCTGTATGCTAAATGAATCTCCAATGCCTTTTCAAGCACTAAGTGGGCACTTTTCATTTCCTAAAAATCAGTGAGATTCCTGAATGCGTATAAAACTAGAGGTGGCTATCATTTTATTATGCTTTTTTAAATTCCTTCTTTTATAGATTTTATCCAGTGCTTCCTCCTAAAAATATTAGGATAAGATGTTAATCAATGTAGAGGGTAATGAGTTTACAATTTGGTAGATGGAGATATCATTCACTATTTACAGGCATGAACCATGATTTTCACTCCACAGTTTGCCACACTGCCTAGTGAAATACTTTTTAAAAAGCTTATCTCAGAATCAGCTTTACTGATATCCGTACTATAAATAAAAGTGAACTATTAACTTCGTGCTTATATCAGAATACTTTTATATTACAGAATCACAAAGTGATTTTTTTAAAAAGTTTTTGCTAACTGTTTTGAGAGTCCTAGTGCTGTGGTGGGTTATTCATTAGACTATTAACCGCAAGACCTCCAGTTCAAAACTACCGACAGCTCAAGGGGAAAAGATGAGGCTTTCTGCTCCCATAAAGATTTATATCCTTAGAAACCCGAAGAGCAGTCTGTGCTTCTTGTAGGGTCACTATTAGTCAAAATTGACTCCGGAGAGTGAGAAAGAGCATGAGAAGTATACAGAATTATATGGGGGAGATTCACACTTATGGGAATAAAAATTAATGACATAGATTCCAATTCCAATTTTAATTAGGAGAGAAGAAAAAATTTTTGAGTAAAAAGACTGTAGTATTAAATTTAAAAATGGCGTGGGGGAGTGGGGTGCCAGCCCCACCCGGTACTTGAACTCACTGGTTCAGTAATGCACAATTGTACGGTTGAGATATATAAGTATTATATTAGAGTCATCGAGAGCATGAAAGATATTACAATAATACAGTCAGACATATTACATGATAGCATTGCTCACCTCAGCCCAGCTTAGTGGTCCACGTGGAGAGAGGGGGAAGGGAAGGAGGGAAAGGGAACAAGTGAGAGGGGGAAGAGAGTCAGGGAGGTCAGAGTCTGAGGGGTCCGAGAGCTCTATATTGCTGACCCATGCCTATATAACTTTTGGGGGCATGCCAGCCCACTAATTACAGGCAGAGACATACGTCACAGGGAGGGGTTACACTATAGGGTACCCAGTAATGAGAGGGTGGTCTAGGGGGTGATCTCTGGGTCTCCATAGGAACCAAGCTAATGGTCCCAAGCTTCAGAGAGAAGTA